CTACCTTGCCACGTTCCTCAACAGGTAGAGTGAGCCACTGGGCAAGGGCCAGTGAGCCGCCCGCTAAAACTGGTATTAGAACTCCACCGTAGACAAGATACTTCAGTGAGACCTAGCACGCACAGCGAAGAATGACACTTGCATGGCAGTGACACTCGTAGGCTCACGATGCGGTTGAGGAGGACGTCGGGGCGTCTGATTTGATATGTAATATCGGCATACCGCCTTTCAAGTAACTTATTCATATCTGACAAACCGTTATTAGCACCGAGATAACAGCAGGAAAGGCCTACTCTTGAATGCTCGATAACCCCACACTGCTGAGACGAGCGCTGCCAAGTCTAGAATATGTGGAGTATAGACAGCCTTAAGACCTGCGACCGCCCGCTTCATGGGCTGACGAACAGAAGAACAGTAGGGCGGGATAGGATAGGGAGGAGAGCTCTTACGTTGGATACCGTGGGCTCGACAGCATCCTGTTCATCCTCGAACTCAATTTTATTGCCAAACTCGTCGAAGTAGCTCTTCTTGTCCAGGTTTTCACCTACGAATTGAATAAGACACTTCGTAGCTCGAGAGCTGGTGACAGGGAATTATTCCAATAATCAACTCACTCAAGAAGTGCTGTCGCCATTGTATATATCCAAGAGATAAGACCCCGCCGAGAATGCCGGTCCACACGATATCGGCCTTTTGCGACATGATAATGAGCTGTAAAAACTAAGACGAACAGTCATTCCTCCCCCAACGAAACAATCACGAGAGTTTAATCGTGAACGAGAGACTTAGGAATAAGCATATCTCGCTAAAGACCTAGGGCTCCAGCGGCCACAGCAGCGGCCGCTTGCCGGGCCGCAGCCTCCTCTAGGAACCTGTGGTAAGAGGCCGCCTGGTCGATCAGTGAGGGAGGGTCACAACGACGCCTGAACACGGCAGTGTAGCAGGGCTTGCCGGCCCGCTTGACCTGAGGGATGTCTTTGGTGAGAGAGCAAACGCGGAGTACCTTCTTTCCTTCTTCTGTGTCATTCTCAATACATTTTATGCAAGGGTCTCCTGCCTGAATGAAATCGATTCGACGAGACGCGTCTAGAACTAAAGAACTGGGAAATCGACAAGGCAGATGTAAAATTAACCACCTTACATCAAATGAGACTAAAAAGCATCAACTAATCCTACAAGTGAGTAATACTACTAGACGGGTATGAACTAAGACAGCAAGCGGTTACCATTATCAGAAATCATTGATGAGATAGGGGCTTCGGAAATCGCGAAACCACTCAGAATGCATAGCATTTATGGTATTGATATGATGAAGACAACAAATACTCACCAGTTCAGCATCAGTGACCCTCTCGAAAAGCTCATGTTGACGCTCGCCACAGTCCCTCATCCAAACGTGGAGATCTTCCACATCAGTAACGGTATACAGCAATCCACCTGAAAGCAGCTTTCATCTATTCCACAACTTCGGCTCTTCCTTGCTACCTGGCTTCAACACATACGCGTACAGGCTCATCAAAGGGTCGTTGATGATTCTCCGTCTCCAGTTGTGCTTCTTGAAATGAGGATCGGGGAAGCAAAAGAACATCTTGTCACACGAGCCCTTTGGGAAGTAGTTGGCCAGAAACTTCATAGCGTTGGTTCGGATAACGGCGATGTTATCACCCTTATAGGGTCCATCAGAAAGTCTCATGCTACGGATCCGCTCGCCCACGTAGTTGGTCACTTGTTCTCGAATTTCCATACCCATGATGAGATTATTTGGGAATAGCGGTCCAAGAGATACCAGAAGACCCCCGAATCCGCATCCGATGTCAAGGATGAAATTGTTACGAATGGGATGGTCGTAGATCAGCGAGGAATCGTATTCGATAGGATGATCTTTAGTATTGTTAAAGATAGTCTGTTCGCACTCCTCCCGACTCCTATCAGTGTGAAAGTACTTGGGGAAGTGCATAGACCAGTCCACATGGCGAGGCGACACAAGGTACTGCATCAGTGGGTCGCTCAAGGGG